ACATTAATATCTTTGCTCCCAGGAGCCAAGCTTTCCATTGCAAACCCAGGACACTCCACATCTGCTTTCACGACAATCTGGTCTCTTGTTCTTAATAAAGAGTTCTCAAGTGTATAGATTTGGGATTTAATTGGATTAGTACTACTCTCCAATCTTCTCTGTCCTCCTTCATTCTCACTATTATCTCAACTTTTTCGCCTCTCTCTCAGGGATAATAGTTTTTCCATGAACCCATTCAAGTATCTTTTCTTTAAGCCTTTACAGACAGGCAACTATTTTGCCTCCTTGCTACCTAATTTTGGGCTAGTACCTTTTACCTCCTAATTTCTAAAACAAACAACCATTTGCTTCACCATTTTATCTTTTTTTTTTTCTTTTTTTTCTTTCTTTTTTTTTTTTTTTTTTTTAAGAGTTGTTCCTTAGCAGTGATTATTTTTTTACAATTTACCCTGGACCAAATGACTTTTAGATAACTTCTCATATTAGGAATTTGCAATTTCTCAGTTATGCATGTAAGCTTCATCTCATCGTGTAAAGGATCAAAGAGTAGGGAAAGAAAAACTATTGAGCCATGAAAATCAGAGAGAAATTTCAACACTGTTTTCATGACATTTATGGAAAAGTTATCTTAAAATATACTGAGCAGACTTCCTTCAGGTAAGGGTCACAAATATGTTTCTGAAAAGGTTGCAACTGCCAAAAAAAAAAAAGAAATTTTCTTCAATATCTTCAAAAAGATGAACTAAAAAAAACTAGGAAGCTATCACAAGTTTGATAAAATAGCAACTAAATCAATATAATTATATTCTCTCTCTATATATATTGATTTATTGATTGATACATTCAAGATAAATCAAACTTATTTGATCAATAAACAATCAAAAAATGCCCATCAGTTTTATTATACAATTAAGTGTACATTTACTATTTTTATTTTGTATTAGGATAACAACAAAAAGTTAATTACTTAGGCAACAGGCCTTTCTTTTAATGTAAATGTAATCTGCTAATCAAGAAAGAAAAAACAATTTCACAGATGTACCTAACTATTTTGTTACAAACACAATAGACAATTAGCAGCAATTCTCAAAGAGCTGTTTTATTTTGCATCTACTTACTCACATTTAGATATCTGCAAGCCATCAAATTTGCATGAACATTTTTCAAATTTAATAGCCTTTGGCAAGAACTACCTGTTCTGCATTTTTTAAAATAGCTGCCTTAACATAATTGAACAGCCATAGTATTATGATCATATTTATTATTTTTCATGTGTACAGATGTGAAAAATAAAAAAAGGTACTCACAAAAATGTAGGAAAATAACTTACTCCCCTTAATAGGTTCCATTTAGTGCAGGTCACATTTTACCACCATAAAACCTAGTCCTGTTTGATTGTATTGATTTGAATTATTCCACAGCCATTTTTAAGCTTTTTATTATTGTTAGTGGTGGCAGTCTTTCTTTCAGAACTGGTGTCTCATTACTTTACCCTGCCTGAACAGTCAGCTCCACTCATTAGAACAAGCATCTGCTACAAACAGTATTAATGAGATCCATATGAAGGGATACAACAAGCCATTACCCACCTGGGCTAATCATTTTACAGTACAAAGCTGATAATGCAGAGTCATCCAGCAATGCCTTGAACATGCTGTTACAATTACCTTACTCAGACAGTAACTACTATTTTAGAACAGGGGGCTGCAAAACTGGATACATTTGTAAAGATGCATTTACTTTGTAGCTACTGTTAACATACAACACATATTTCATCTCAACAAAGCCAAAAGGCATTATTTTACTAGTGGGAAATTTGCCCTTTGGCTCATGAATGGATTAGCATTAAAATTATTTATAAGACACCAATAGTTTGACTACTGTTCCAATAAATATTGAGAATTTACACTAAACCAGTCAGAATAGCTGCAGAACTCAGTGACTTTTATTTAAATAATAATAATTTAAAGCAATATGATTTTAGAGGTGGTTTTCTTCAAAACAGCATGAGTTTGCATATAGCATTTACATACAACCAAGTAGCTGGTACAAAGGAAATATTTCACCAAAGAGTGTCAATGCTAAATGAGCTTCACAGATCTTTTAATTTAAAGTTCATTTCTCTAAACCTAAGATACAAATACACACATCTTTATATATTGGCATTTACAAACATGAGGGAAGAAATATTTGTCCTCACTGTGTTTTTTCCTTTAGGACAAACATACTCCAGAAGGAATACTGGAGCAGAACCAGGAGGTGTGCCCTGCTAATACAAGGGCCCTGGAAACCAGGCACAGAAAAAGCAAGACCACAGTGAAGGCTCAAACTCTTCAAAGCAAAACAGACTAAGCTAAGCAAGGCTAAGTCAAAAGATTTTGAACTTAGAATTCCAAGAAAATGAAGGAGGATGAGTTTTACCCAAACCAAACTCACACACTTACAAAAATATGTAAGATACTACTCCAGTAAATCCCACAACATATTTTAGAGAATCGCTATCAAATAATTTAACTAATCAATTTCCCATTGTTAGACAACATTATTTGAGATATAACGATCTTTTATTTAGGGAAATACTTTCTCTTTTTCTAAAATTATGGGTAGAAAAATACAACAATACTAAGAAACCAAAAAAAATAAGCGCAGTTCTACCACTGGGAAACAAACCCAAACAATGGGGAAAGGGGGGAAAAAAATACCAACCACAAAAAAAAACAAAACCAACAGCTCTTAAAATAGAGGACGAGAGGTTCAGCTCCAACTGGAATCTAGAATTAGCAAATGCTTTTGAAGTAAAAATATTTAGAGAAGTCACTAACACTGCATATCACTTAAAAGAATGTATAAAAAAATGCTTCAGTCATGAAACCTCTAGGAAAAACTACTGCTGAAGAAATCAAATATAGGTAACTAACAAATAGTGACATTCAAGATGTTTAGCTAAGTTGAGCAAATGCTGTTATTTTAACTAAAATAAAACTGTTTTATTTCAGTGAGAAAGTATAACAGAAAGTTATTAGCTATGCATCTGCTTTTCTTGAAGTCCAACAGGATTGACAAAAGTGCATTGCTTTTTAAGCAAAGAGAGAGAACAAAGCAACAAAAGAAAAAAGTATGCAAGCCTAATAATATTCTAATAGGCAAGGTCTAGACTGATGCATCTAAACCACTTTTAACAGAATAGCTTCAGAGATATTTGATGGCAGGGGTTCCATCTCCAGATGATGGAAGCAGGAGATCCATAAATGGGTCTCCACTAACTGATGTCTTAATATTAAATTCAAGAAGGTCACGCCTGTCAACACAAGCATTCAGAATAATTAATGAAAATCTGTTTAATTGCATACGGAGTCTGGATCACTGGAGAACAACTAAATAATTAGAAGCATGTCCAATGTAAAAATTATCATAATTTTTCATTGTTAATTAGGATACATATCATGCAAAGTGTCTAAATATCCAAATAATAGCTCAGGTTTTCACCTCTAATCTCTCTTTCATATTACTTAAGGTGAATTTCATTAACATTGGATCTCTGTAGATCCATTTTCTTCTCTGAATATACCTATTAGTCTGTGTACCTTCATAACCTATTACCAGTTATTATGTTTTGAAAAGAATTAAAAGAGCTATGTAGTTCCTTCAGTTTTGTTTTTCCTCCATTCTGTTTTCCCACCAATCTAAAACTAAAAACAGAGGATAGAATGTTCAAAGTACTGAAAATCTCAACAAGAAATTACATGTACACTTCAATTTCTTTCACAAAATGCAGTCTTCCAGGTACACTACTACGTTCTGTATAATTGCCTTAGTACGCAGAACGTGGGCATCCCATCCACAAACTTGAGTAAGAAAATGAGATATTATATTAAGACATCAGTATTCCAAATTAATAACATACGATATGACAAAGACTCTTCAGGTCAGTTTAAGCTGGCTGACTTCATTTGTCCAGGGTCAGCAGCTTTGGAATGCCCTATGCCCTGTACTGCTCTGAGAATATGCCTTGACCTCCCAATACCCCATTGCTCTAACTTCCCACCCTGAGAACACCTGCACTGCAATATCCAAGTGCTTGTGCATACAGCCAGTGTTAGTAAATCAATTATTCACACACATTTCTTAATGCTAGGACTCCATACTGACTGCAAGCTTACTTACACTTTTCACACCATGCTCTGCCCAAGCTAATAAATCCTTGAAGCACAAACTCCACTGAGGAGAGACACTTGAAGGGTCTGTGTTTTTTTTATACATGACAGCTTAGTTCTGGCTGAATTGTGCTGAATCCTGACTGACTCCATGTGGAGCCATTTGGCAATTCTCATAAGACATTCAATTCCCCATATTCTTCAGGATTTTCATTATCTAGGATATTCTATTATTAAAGATAACAAACCTAGTAAAATAAAGAACTCAGGAAAATCTTTAGAATATATCCAATAAGTCAAATTAGGTTGTCGTTTGTTATTAAACAAAAGGCACCCCTGCAATGAATGTAAGGGAACTGGTGAGGGAAGATAAAATTACTGAGTCTTTAGCTGACAAGAACTACATGTTTGAACAAAGGATCACAGGATGAATTTTAAAAAAGACCCCTACAAAATTTCTGATACTACCCAGCTTCTGAAGGATCAATTAGAAGTTTTAATTTTGCTTATAAATAAAGTCCTCACCTTAGCAAACTTTCACTGTTATGTAAGACCTTGGTGGCAAGTCGTGGCTGACAGACAGGCAAGGGTTATGGAGAATAAGGGTACCTGCCTTTAACAGTCAGTGTGTAAAACAGCTGCTAGAAAGAAACCTGGCCACAAACTTCAGCAAATAACTGAAAAAACTTCAACTTCTTGGTTACCAAGACAGAATAAAAATTAATCTCTGGAGCCAGTTTTGTTGCTGTGCTTTGTCCTTTGTACAAGCAAATTCACTTTCCTGAGAAAATACAAACTGTCTACTGAATTTACTGTGTTTTGCTTTTTCATTTAAAATGAACTTACCGGGTGCCGTCTGCTTTCCAGCTAACTTTGTATGGCTTCTGCTCCAAAAATTTAATATTTTGCTTGTCCATGGAAACAGGCTGTGCTCCAGGGAATCCAGTCCTAATAAAAAGAACCATGTTTATTAATGGTTCTGCAATAAATACTCACACAAGTAAATACATTTTTCACATCAGACTCAAGTCACACCTCATACCAGACTAGCTGCAAGGTTAACTCTGAGTCCTAACCTCTTCTCCAAGAAAGTATTTTGCAATAGAAGTCAAAAGCTATCTCATAAGAACGAAGTTATTTGCTTATGACAAAACACTAAATTATGTGAAACTTCAAAGTTTTAGCTTTGCAGAAAGAGATATTTAAATTAAAAATTACAGGCACGATAAGCATCAACAAGTTAGGAAGCAGTGTGGATCACCAACTTTGGAATGGAAAAGTTCGGAATCATAGACACTAAAACCAACATTTTCATTAGCATTGGACACAAATCCAAGTTGGCTATAAAAATTAGTATTATACCTCCATACTTAAGTGTAATACCAATGGCATAAATAAATCTACTGCTTGAGAAAGAACTAAGCTTTACACAAATAGCTGGACTACACTACATCTGGAATTTGAACAACATTTTGTTATCTCAATGGAAAATTAATTCTATAATCTTGTTTCTCAACATCAAAATCTGATCATTCCACGTCATAATACAGTGCAAGACTTTCACTGCCAAGTGTGTTTGAGCCTTTTTTTTAATAAACAATCCATGGTCACCTTTTTCTCATTTTCACAATGAGCAGTTGCATTCTGCAAAATACAATACTTATTTCTAGATAGCATAAATAAGTAAGTTCTAAATATTCTCATACCCTTCCCATCCACAGAACTGCTGACATTTTTGCTGTATTCCTCCTAATTTTGGTTGCGTTGTCACCTGGGTCACACATTTAACTGTTATTCCTTCCAAGAAAATTGCACCCTAAGTAAAAAAAAAAAAAAAACAAAAAAAAAAAAAACAAACAAAAATTAGTATTAAAGACCTCACAAAATCAAAACAGAATATATCAATACAAGATTAAGACTGTTTTCACAACCCTCTAGAGCAATACTAGCTTAAGCATTCCTTAAGGATTTACCCCCAAATGTCAAGATACATTAGCTGAGCTTTGCCAGGAAACTCATAGGTGAGCCATATTATAAACTCAGGAACTCAATGAGTTACTTACGAAGAAAAAATATAATTAAAAAAAGGCAACAGGGATAAGGCAAAAGGAAGGGATAGCTAGTACTTAGATGCTTACACTACTTAGCTAATACTCTCAAGAATGTAGATCTAGAACAAACTGAACAAAAGAGAAAATATAAACAGCACATTTGTAACAAAATATTTGTGCAAATATATTTTTATATTTTTTCTCAATCTAAACCAGGTTATTAGAATGGAGCTGCTATCCTGAAAGCCCCAGAAAAGCCTATGCAGAGATCAAAAAAATCAATCTGAAAATAAAAATCTAAAATAACCTGAACATTCTACAGAAAGTTTGATGCCAAAATGAATAAAAACATATCTTGCATAACAGAACAAATGAAAGCCACCACATCTACAAAACTACCAAATTAAAGATTTCTATGGAGATCTGAAATCAACCAAACTTAATTCAACAGAATGTCAAATAAATTTTCAATGCACACAAAGAAGATCAAACCATGACTATTCAGCTGTTGAACCCTGCATGTGAAGACACAAGTATCTCATATCTGTTCTCTAAAACACTTGAAACTGGCTTTAACAAATCCAGCTGCATACCACTGACGAAAGAAGTATTTTTCTCTTCTATATTTCCACATATTGTGGCACTCCTATGTTATATACTTGAGCACATCTAGGAACTAATTTGGCAAAAATAACACCATATATGGCTAATAATTTTCTGCCAAAATAGTATCCTAAACTAGCTCACCATAGGATAACTCAGTACTAGTGACAGCACAAGGGAAAGCAGGGAAAAGCAGGACCACAGATTTCAGTACAACCTGCAGTTAGTTAAGATTGGCTCAGTCACATCACCAAATCACATTCTGAGAACAGAACATCCTAAAGAAATATACTGGTTCATAACCTTAACTACCTTGAGCTCCACAGACTCTCTGTGTGTCACTCACCCCATACAATTTACATGGGCACCAGCCGGTGCAACAGCATGCAGGGGAGTGGGCGAGAGAGGCAGACAGCTACTCGTGCCTGGCCAGCACATTGTCTGCATTCTGATAAGTGGTGAAGAGCACCAGGAAACAAAGGAAGATGGCTCTGCCTTGCTTCTGTCAATAATGGCACAGTGGAATGCCAGTAAGACTGCTAAGATTGAATTAACAGGCAGGGAACAGGAAAGATTTTCCAGAAAAGAAAAAGTAATAAACACAAAATTCATATTTGAAAGTGTTTCTTGCAGATTATCTGCTTCAAGTATAATCACTAAGGCACAGCACTATGAAAGCAATGTGAGTCACTTGGGTATTCGTGCTTGGCTAACTTAGCACTCCAGGTTTCATGAGGACATTCCTTGGTTAAGGTACTAAACTGAGCCAGACCCGTGCAGTTTTTACCCTACTGTCCCAATACTGTTCAGCTACCAATGCCTTTGGAAACAGGACACTGGAGACCATGGTGCAGAGACTCCAGAGTACTCAGATCACCAGGATCACGTTGACTCCTCAGCACTGATAATAAACCAAGAGTTTATAAGCCCTAAAGGATGCAAGAAAACTACATGCACTGGTATCTACACTGTGTACAACCTTCCCACCATCTGTACTAATCAACCTTGCCCCACTTGCCATGAATTTCTCCACCCATCACTTCAGCTGAAGGAGAAGTGGCAATGTGGATCATCCTGTGTTGGTTCATATCCTAAACACCATCTGGAGGAGTGGGGGAGTGGGAACAGCCCCAAACACACACCTTCCTGACCCTAGCAACTATCACCAGGCCTCAGTGAGAGCTGTGTTCAGCTACTCAGACTTGACTGCATGCCAGTATGCTCAGAGACTACCTACCAGAAGACAAGTAACATTCCAAAATATGTCAGGAAGAGATATCTTCTAAAGTGAACGAAGTGAGAGACAGAGAGTTACACTTACCAGCTTAGATTTAATACCTAGAAACACAGGACCAAATCACAGTAACTGTCTCTTGGCATGCACAAGTAAAAAAGAAAACAAAATCATACTGACTGTCACTCAGTAGCAAAGGTGTTCCACTAAACATTTGGTTTTCATAATGAAACAGGCTTTGTAGAATTGGTATTGCATGCATTTGCCTTGGTTTGTCTTTTATTTGCTTATCTTGTCCTCATCAAGGAATTCAAAAAACATGAGGTAGATGTAACTTCCATAAACCAGAAGTGTAACCTCTTTCAAAACCAGGTCCAGAGGAGTTAATGTTTCTCTAACAAAATGGAAGAATCTCCAAGGTCTGGTTTAGGCATAACATAATAAATTTATTTCCACTAAACTTCCTATTAGCATTCTTATTTTTGTGACATCTCTGACTTTAATAACAGGGATATAGACTGGGATGGTAGTTTAAGATTCAGTGTTATCCTTCATTTTAAAAATGGGCTGGAAATAACACTGTGCAATTCAGCATAAATAAAGTTCTACACTTAATAATGGATAAGAAATTATACAAACACACACTGGTAGATAATTAGAGAAAAATACATGGAAGCAGCAAGAGACCAAAAGCTGAATTAGTATTGTTCTGCCTTGTGAAAGGCAATTATGTTGAGATATATAAACAGAAGTATTAGCCTTAAGACATGTGAAATTAATTTTTCCCTATTAAGCCTTACTAGGATGGCCTCAACTAGAGGCTTGCATTCAATTATAGGCACCACAGCATCAGGAAAACATGAGTCAACATGACAGAATACAAAGAATAACAAGAAAGGTCAGTAGTACAAAAAAAATAGACTATAAGGAAAAAGTGAGCTAATAAGCATTTAACATGGAGAAGGAAATGATACCCATATTCAAGCACATAAAATGGTGCTGCCAAATCAAAAAATAGTATTTTTCCCATACCCTTCAAGATGCCCACATGCAGAACAATAAGTACAAAGATTAAACTTTGCAAAAGAGAGTTGGTTAGGCAGAAAAACCCCAAGTCACTAATATTTAGAGTAATTGTACTGTGATAGTTAACTAATAAACATTATCCTCATTACATCAAATCAGTTTAATTGCTTCCTTCTGTCTCACAGATGACCACAAGACACCTGCACTCAAAATCATGAAGAAAATCATTAACAGCCATCATCTCTTCCAGGTTGTTAAAGATGTCACCATTCATTTCAGAAGCACTGCATCTCACACCCCATAAAATGCAACTTAGGTGGGACTAGAAGAAAGAACATTCCTTAATAAACAGTAAAAGTTCCATTTGACCCATGAAAGGTTTGTAGGTTCTGGCTCAGAATTACAACCTTTTGACCACTTTGCAAAATGAAATACTTTTTTCCTGAAGTGAGATTCTAAGTGTCAGTTAATAATGTTGTTTTGATGCTACAATCAATACTGCATGCACTGACAAAGTCAAAACTTGTTTGGATTTCCTGTGTGGCACCTCAGGCTGCAACAAGCAGATTTCCTGGTACCTGTCAACTTTCTTCAGATAATGACAAAGTGATGGTAATGGCTTTATGTTCTAATGATTCTTAACACTTTCTGAGTGTAGGAAAGAAAGGCTGTCAAGATTTTTTGACATCAAAATATGGATGTTTTAATGAAAAATGCTGCAGTAAAGATCTCACATCAGCATTTCTTAAAGGGACAGCGTATTAACTTCATTTCACAGGCTAGCTAGCAGTTGTTTCTGACTATTCACTCTCCTAGCAAGATGCCTGGGAGCTGTCTCCTCCTCTACTACTAAACTTTTCTTCTGTCTTCACAAAGATTTGGGTCAAAATGAGAAAAATTCAGAACACTGCTATCACTACAGCTACCTCTAGTTTTACACTGCCTACCCCTAGGCTTTTAGGAAAGAGATGAATTGTAAAGGTGGAAACATCTGCCGCAGGAAACCAACATAATACTGAAAATGTAGCCCTTTAGACAGTAAAATAAGAATATCTGAGCAAGAGGTATTTACCTGATACTCACTCCCCCTGTAGACCGCATATTTACAAGGAATCACAAATATCCATCTCTACTGAGTTAAGAAGCAGTCCCATCTGCCAGCCAAGAACCATGGTAAAGAATTCTGCCCGTTCCTCCTCTTCGTGTCAAAGAATGTTCCTTCAGAGCTGCAAAACTGAATTATACGAATATGCATATTAACTAGATGATTCTTTCTTTCACAAATTCTCTAACTCATAATTAATTTTTAGTTATTAATATGCTTATTCGTATAATTTAGCTTCCAGCTTTCAACAAAACTATGGTGGTGGCAGACAAGAAAAAGCCAGGGAAGCCAATATCATTCCTGTTAAATAGACCAGTTGAGTTTTATACTTGATGAAGAGGCTGTCATTGTAATTCATCCTAACACCTCAGTTCCTGATGCATCAGAAGGTACATCAAAATAACTTTAAGGTTCCAGCCTCCCCAAAAATATTTTGACATCAGTGTTTTACCGCAAGGCTAATGGAGGAAGTGAATATACTTTAACTATGTCTTTACAGTGTGGGAAAATTTTTATACCAGATGAGGGATAATTTGAAAGTTTTCAAAGTTCATGTTGCTTTTTTAGACTGGATTTTGTATTCCTGTCAGGCTAATATTTTCCATATTCTATGTGTAAATCTTGTTGACTGCAGGAACAACAAAATTCTTTTTTGCAACCTATTTCAGTATGAGGATTTCCAAGTCTTTGCAAACAAACACACCTCAGCACACAAGTCAAATAATTCAGTGTAATGATAAAAAAAATCTATTTTTGCACTCAGCAATGGTCTAGCCTGCTTTATTTGCAAATAAAAAAGTCAGGAATCTGAAGAGAACTGAGTCATTAGTCTTCAGATGATACAAATATATTCTTTGCACTTGAGTATTAGTTCCATATCATGGTAACTACAGTAACTCATTTCATCAGAATTATGCAGATGTATGTCAGAAGCCACAGTAAGTGATCAGTTATATTTCTTACAAAGCTAAAACAGCTTTGAACACATTATGATCTCAAAGCTGCCTTGAGTTTTTTAAGCTCATATTGCTTTTTGCTAATCCAATTTTCAATCCCACAAAATTTCCCAAAGAAAGACTATTTACCAAAATGAGCACTGAATTTTAAAAATTCTGAATTTCGTCCACATGACTACAAAAAACAAGAACTGTTTCCATCCAACTCTAATAACATTTCGTCTCCAAAGACAGACTGAATAATTAAAAAGCCCTTTACTATCTCAAAAAATTGTTATACTAGAAAATGTTTAAGTCATTTTTACAACTGGAATATTGGAGGTGTTGAATATTAAAGTTTGCAGTTCAAATAGGAAATACAAAATGTTTACAATGTATCTACAACTTTTTCCAGTTACAGACAATGCTTCCAGTCCCCATTTGCAAGAGCAGTGACACAAGCATAGCATGTACAATGAGGTAACTGATGGGTATGAGGTGATGAAATTATGTTTACCAATTTGAATATTAAATTCCAAATCAAAATTACCAGTTTTAGGCGTTCTTTTCTCCTCTTGCCAAAGGAAGAGCTTGATGATCCGGGTTCTGATTCTGGGCCTCCAGTTTTACCATTATCATCATCCTCCTCTTCATCTTCATCAAAGCACCATTCTGGAAGCTCTGGTGGTGCTGGTGCATCATCTTCATCCCCATAGCGACGAAACAGTTCCTTCAAATAGTCACCTTTATAAATACCTGGAGGTCTGGCCTGAGCAAAAGTAGCCACAGCAGCCTCAATACTGCCAAAAAAAAAAAAAAAAAAGAAAAAGAAAAATCACTCTGGATGCTTGATTTACATGTCTTAGTCATGGCATCCTTTACCAAACATAAGAATTATTGGGACTGAGAATCAATACAAATTCTGAAGTGGTAATTGCAAAAACATTCCTTGTATTTGGAAGTCCATGCTTAGATCAGTCTCGTAACAGCTGCTCTTGCACAAGATTCTGCATAACTTTGTAGGCACTGCAAATGTTCTCAAGTAACTGCGGCTGCTTTGAGTCCTTCTTGCAGCTCCTAGTGGTCTGCTGATCACTGTTTTATCACAGACAAAACTTTTTTTATTGCTACAGAGAAGCAATGGGTGATATGCAGGTAAATACCTGAGGGCTGCACAAACACAAAAGAAGACCAAAGCAACATATCAACAAACTTAATGAAGAAAAATGCAAATGTTTAAATTCAAATATGGTTACATTTTTCTCCACTAGGAATTGTCTTTCCTCTCATTAGAGGTTTTGCCATCATACTGGGAAAAATCACCCTAATCTTTTTAAATTACTTCTCTTTCCAGAAGTTTCTCGTAAAAGAACTGTGGTTCAGTAGCCTTTTACTATGCACCTAATACTTAATCTTGCCCAAATAAATTGGAAGCTGGACCACAAAAAAATTAGAAATCAAAACAAACAGTCCTGCATCTTTACCAGCCAAGGGGAAAACTCTCCAAAACATACAACAGTGAGCACAACACAAGGGTTTTATTGTCACCATTTTCATAGATACAATGAAAATGTTTAACTAAAAACATTGGATATAATTCTGTCTTCCATTTATCTTGGCTATGAAGAGCAGTAAGGCTCCAAGAATCAACATCTTAAAATCTTACTACACAGGGGAAAGGAGAAACCACAAAAATAGAGAGATTACTCTCTTAGGCTTCTTGACAAGCACCTGTCTTAAAACTGGAACAAAAGCACATACTACACCCTGTGACTTTTTTTTTTCAGATATTTAATTCAAAAAGCCTTTTTTTCTTGTCTGACCTATACAGTATGGAATGGAGCCTGAGAACTTTTAAGAGGTAAATTTTCCAGAATAGACAGAAACAGTGTATAAGAACCACTAAGGCTGATTGACTCCCCTGATCTTCATAAGAGGAGAAAACAAGACATTCTCCAGAGTGACACTATCACATGGTATCACTTCAAAAATGACAGTTTAAGGGTCTGAGTTACAGAAGGACCTTTCTTCTCCATTCTGTTTTTCTAAGACTCCTAATTTCTTTCTCACAAGACATTTTTTACTCTGCTATCTTTCTTAAATTGTTTCACATCTTCTGTAATGAATGCCACTGAAAGGACAAAACAAAGCAAAAGTTATGGCGTCTGAAAAATGCTCTATTTTTTTTGATGATATCAGAAGAACTCTATAATTTTCTGGAATAGATGGCAATGAAAGCCAAAGGAGGTGGCACAGATTTCAAATACAGAATCCTAGCTGAAAGAAAACAATTTTCCAGGTTCCAGAAACACAGCAGTGTTTGGGAAAAATGAGTTGTTGAAAAGAGAATCAAGTAAGATTTCTGACCTTACTAGTCAAAAAGCCGAAGAGCTTTCAGGCCTTTCTCTAAACTAACTATAAAATATATCCCACTGTACACAATAAAGCAGCAACACTCCTACATCATATGCTTAAGGAATGAATATGGATGGATTTTTCCATCAGGAAGATCTTATTTCCTCATTAGCAAGAAACAGTGCCTTGTTTTAAAGAATGATACAGCAAATTAGATTTATCTCAATACAATACTCAGCATTAACCAGCAGCTTGCCAAAATTGTTTCTTTCACTGTGGACATTTTTTCCTACCAGGGGACATCTGGATGTTCTATGAAAATAATTTGACAGAGATGAACAAAGTTGATACAATTAAATACCCAAAGAAAAAAAAAAAAAAAAAAAAAGACACGGCTGTTGAGTTTTAAGGCTTTTCCCACCAAGGTTTGAAAACAGATAGGCAGCATAAAAGTAGGAGGTCCAAAGAGATTCAAGTGCCTTTCCTCTTCAGAACAAAGGACCAATTCTAAGTCTAATTATTGCATGCCACTTCAAAATTGTTTGATTAAAAGCATACAAACTTTCTAACTCATAGGAACAACAAGAATCAAAATATAAAGCCATTTGTGTCTGTGTCTACTTCCTAGACACAGCTAGGATCCTGCAAAGATTCAGCCACCCATAACTAAAGGTTTTCCATCTCCATTACTCCAATATCTTTATTCTGTTTACTAAAAGACAGCAATGACCTAGTCTTTGCAAACAGCTTGCACATGTATGCTGAGTATAATAACTGTATGTCCAGTCATAAGAAAATCCTGCAACAGGAGCAGAATTTTCTGCACTTAAAGGACCACACATAAGAAATATCAGAATGTTTAACAGGCTTGTCAAGAAACATGACTTTCACAGGACTCTGTCAAGAAGGAAATAGGGTTTTATAAATACTACAAAACAAAAGCTACGCAAAAGTTATGTCCAACAGGATGGCACAGACATTTTTTGGGTTTGGGGTTTCTTTTAAAACTAATGTTATGTAAAAAAGATAATTACTCTGTATGAAAGGGCCAACATTTTTAAAAGATGGAAGAAATTAATGACCCTGTATAGAAGTATGCTGTAGATTTTAGTCAAAAAACAAGCTGGAAACAAGGACTTTCTTTGCTCCCAATCCTTCAGAAGTATGTATGTTACTCTGTTGTTGCTCTAGTTACTCTCTTCAGATCTCAAAAAAGCCCAAAAACCTACACCCACACCTACATGAAAAAGATGAAAATGTATGGGAAATAATATTTCAGGAATCTCTGAACTCTACATTCTTACTTAAAATGTGGGACCTGTCATGGGAAAGAGACACAATATGATACATACACTGCTAAAGGCCCACACACAGCAGGTACAGCTGACTTTTGACCTACCAGACCTGGAATTCTTGACTGCAACAGGCTAAGCTAACAAGGGATGATACAAAAAATGTTAATATGGGCTGTTTACTCAAGATTATTAGGCAGGTATAAAACAAGCAATGGTGAATACATTAGCATAGCTGTCAGGACAATGATTGAAACATACTGAAGAACATTTGGCCACATTCCACAAATCCCCAGGAAGTAACATACAAAGTTACCTCCAGTCCATCTTCTCAACCAAAAAGGCACAGATCAAAAATCCAGTTCTATTGAAACCATGTGTACAATGGACACCTAGAAAAGACAAGAAAAGGGCATAATCACTTACAAGGGGTTTTAACAAACATATTTCGTATCAAAATGTGGGTTTAGATCCTTCCACCTTCATCTGTAACATTAAAAAGTTATCTCCCTTCCCATCATGGCAGTACAGACCACATAAGCCTGAAAGGCAATTTATTACATTCTTTCTGCGAATTAGCAGCAGCAAGGGTATAGGACACTTCATCACAATGAAGAGCACTAACTTAATGTGATTGAAATATGGCTAATACAGATAAGATTCACAGATCTGCTCAAATGCTTGTCAGAAGGCAATATAGTCAAATTCATTAATTGAGCTTTTTACTGGATTCAACAAGCATGACAGTCATTTCACACCACCAGGAAAAATATATTCATATTACCTTACCTCAAAGCTGAAAGGGGTGCCAATAGACTATAATTCTATCTCAAATTCACTATAACCAGACTAAGACCAGACTTCTTAATTTTGAAAAAAAAAAAAAAAAGAATGTACAAAAAGAAAACTACACAAGAGTATAATCACCTTGAATTACTTATCTTTTCAATGTGAAAAAAAGAATTAAGTCTTCAGCCTCTGTTTTACTGAACTCATCCCCCATTTAAAGGAGGGATACACTGTCAAATGCATTGCATTTTTTTTTTCTCTCAAGGCAACAGCACCACCTAGTGATAAGCAGACCAGCCTCAAAACTTGTGCTATTAAAAATGTCATGAAGCATTCAGGCAAGATGTTGCGTCTTCCTCCTACCTATTTTAAAATCATAAATATCATTAAAGTTTCCACTAACATCAAGAGCAACTATTCTTAACATTTTTCAGTTGTTACCATAGAATCATAGAATTGCTTAGGTTGGAAAATGCTCTTAAGTACATTGAATCCAACCATTAACCCAGCACTGCCAAGTCCACCACTAAGCCATGTCCCTAAGTGCCACATCTACATAGTTTTTAAATACCTCCAAGGATGGGGACACAACCACTTTCCTGTGCAGTTTGTTCTTGTGCTTCACCTTTTGGTGAAGAATTTTTTCCTAATGTCCTAAACCTCCCCGTCTAACTTAAGATATATTTCCTCTTGTCCTGTCCTGGGGAAAGACACTGATCCCCACCTGGCTACAACCTCCTTTCAAGGCGTTGCAGAGAGTGATAAGGTCACCCCTGAGTCTCCTTTTCACCAGGCTAACCAATCCCAGATCCCTCAGCCACTCCTAATAAGACTTGCGCTCCAGACCCTTCACCAGCTCTGCTGACCTTCTCTGGACACACTCCAGAATGCCAATGCCTGAGCACCAGTGCCAAGTACCAGGGACAATCACTTCCTAATCCTACTGGCCTTCTTGGCCACCTGGGCACACTGATGGCTCATGGTCAGTAGACCAGCACACTCACCCAAGTCCTTCTCTGCCAGGCAGCTTTCCAGCTGCTCTTCCCCAAGCCTGCAGCATTAGCTGGGATTGTTGTGACCCAAAGTGCAACACCTGGAACACAACACCTTGAAGCAAGCCATTTAAGCTTTAATTAATTTGCTCATTTCTCTACCACAGCTAGTAAAACAAGGTTAGTAACAATTCACTTGATGCACATTCAAACAAAATGTGAATATCTATCTTTTTTTACATTCCTCTACATTGAGGAGTAGAACTTGTTCAACTGGAGAACCAAAGTACCTACAAAAAGTAGACTGATGAAAAAAAACCAAACCAACTTTAAGTGGGTAAAAAAGTATGTATTAACTGTAATAGGATCAGGTTTTATGCCTACCCCACCAAGGTTCCCTTCTTGATAAAGCAAGGTAAAAATTATAATGAATTTTTTGGATTAATAATTTCTAACCATTTAAAAATACTAAAAACTGTATAACTTGCATCAAATTAAATTAATTTTAGATTCCTGATATAATTTATTCCTAACAATCATTTCTCCTCAGTTTTCTGATGAAGCAAAATTTTTGTACGTCACATCCTTAAGGTTGGCAGACCTAATCCTGTCCTTCAGGCTGCAAAAATAAAGTTTCCTTCCTATATTGTTCTAGATGAATTGAAAATTTTGATCACTTAGCATTCATATTTCAGTCTCTTTTCATATTTAATCGTGACACTGAGAAAAAAATTGCACACAATTGCTACCACTAAGTCCTGCAGCTGTTACTGTTGCCAAGAAGGTTAAGTCAATAATTTTATACACATGACAAAGACAAGCAATCTCAGCATGAGACCAAATGGCTTGGAAGAGAAAAATCACACAAGGTACAGTACTATCACTGCTGCAGACTTCTTTCACTTTTGATAAACATTCTCCACACTGGTCCCTCTGATGCTCTGTCAGAGGAAACAAGTGACCAAAATTACGAATTTCAGTAATTAATGGAAAGGAAATGGAAAATTCCAACATTTATCTTTTACTATGAAAGCCTAAACAACATGTTCTTCAAAAGTTTAGTGAACATAACTATTTTCTCCTTGGCTCTTCCTAAATGACTTTTTTCCCCTAAAGAGATGAGACATTTAAATAATGGAAAAACATCCCACCATTCAAAGCCAAAAAGTTAGTGACTCAACATTAAAAATGGCATTTTATAAGTTGAAATATCAACTAATTGGGTCTGCTATTTATAGGATATCACCATGCTATCCATGCACTATTACAAATTGCTAATCATAACCACTGTTTTGAATTCTAAAATATTATTGAAGGACCAGTGGAAGAACTACAAAAGGAGACTGAAAACAAGGAATTGCTAAAAGAAAAGTGAGTGGGATCAGTCATCAACAGTATCTTGCTTCTGGTGTAAGTTTTGAAATACTGTTGGTGACTGGTTCCACTCACTCCCATTTAGCAGTTCCTCATTTTTTAAACCATGTAGCTGTGTTACCATTCAGAGAAGAACACACAGGTCTCTGTCCTGGTTTCAACTGAAGCAGAGTTAATTTTCTTCACAGTGGCTGGTGTGGGACTGTGTTTCAGATTTGTGCTGAACACAGGGTTGATAAATAGAGAGATGTTTTTGTTATTGCTGGGCAGGGCTTACACAGAGCCACCACCTTTTCTGATTTTCATGCTGCCATGCTGGTGAGGAAATTAGGGGTGCCTGGGAAGCTGGGAGGAGACACAGCTGGAACAGTTGAGCGAAACTGGCCAAAGGGATTCTCCACACCATAGAACATTCAGTGCATAGAGTGAGAGGAAGAAAGAGGAATGGGGGACATTCATGATGGCATTTGTCTTCCCAAGTCACTGCTAGGTGGTATGGGGTCCTGCTCTCCTGGGGATGGGAAGCAGTGAATTGATTCCTTGCTTTGCTTGTGTGCATGGCTTCTGCTTTCCCTGTGGAACTGTCTTTATCTCAATTCATGAGTTCTCTACCTTTACCCTTCCACTTCTCTCCCCAGCCCCACTGGTGGAGAAGTGAGGGACCAGCTGTGTGGGGCTTGGCTGCTGGCTGGAGTTAAACCACAAAAGTCTCCAATTAAACTGCATTCTGTGTGCAATAAAGAAGTAAGCAAGTATCTAAAAGAAAACTAGGTGAAAAAATGTGTGACCAAATGAAATCTTTCAAGCACCCAAAAAAAGAAAATTCTCAGAGGTATTGCATCCCGCAAGAAGAAGTGGTATTGCAACGAGAACAAGAAGCAATAGCTACAAATTGAAATACAATAAATTCCACTTCAACATGAGAAAAAAACATCTGTGTAAGAACAAACACTGGAAGAGAAAACATTGTGGAGTCTCCAAGCTTAGAGGCTGGTCAAAAGCCAAATGGGCATAGTCCTAAGGAAGCTGCTTTAGCTGGCCCTGTTCTAAAGAAGGGCAATTGAGTAGCTGATTTCCACAGGTCCTTTCCAGTAACTTCAGCTATCCTACCATTGATGTGGATGAATCCTAAACTGCATGAACACACCAGCTTAGTTTACCAAGCTCTTAGCAACAGCACCTGCACAAACAACTGCTCCATGTACTCTTAAGTCACATACACGCTCAGATTCAAGGCTGCAAAATTATCATCCAAGAGGATTGAGGACGACACCCATTCTGACTCTGGAAACTCACCTGCAAAGTAATGTCTTGTCTCTAATAGTTTGCAGATAGAGATGAACATTAATATGATTGACAAAAATCAGAGTAAAATAGTTTTAACTAAAACTAGAAGGGATGCAAATTAAACTCAGAACTTATTTCTCTCTGAATAAAAGTATGCTTAGAACATTCAAATATTCACTACAAGACAGTATACCACAGAAGAAAAACTTAGCCTGGTATCTACTACCAGTTTTGTGAGGCTTGCTAAAGAATCTCTGATAATCCAGTTACAAAATATGATTTCAAGGAAACCAGACCACCAAATACATAACTTGCATTTGTATCAGCAGAAGTTACAAAACCATAGTGAAAGTATCATGTATTTCTAGACAGCCCTTGGGCCTGTGTATTTTTCTGCATTAAGTCAACAGCTGTTACCAAACTGATGGATGCAGAAGCATACTACTTTCTGTAAAAGAATAAAAGAAACATTAGTTTTGCAGTAAAAGCAATCAAATTTATATATGCTTAAACACTGTATTGAGGAAATTCCTTTGCTTGGACTTCTAAGAATAAGAGACTGAAGTTACAAGCAAATATGAAACAAACTAAGAATAAAAACTAATGATGGGCATAAGATGGATATAAGATGTACCTATAAGTTCTGAAGGATTCTTATCACTGAAGTGTTCGCATACACGGATAAATGTTTCTGTATTCTCAGGTGTGGGGCACTCACCATGCCTGAAAAACACAAGAACACATGGATTAGGACACACCTGGGGGAAAGGGAAAAAGAGGAAAGAAATTAATTTCTTCAGTGTGATCTTTTAAGTTAAAAGCCAAAGAAACAATTAAAAAGTGCACACAACTTACCCTTTACATTGGAGCTTTATATATTTAATTCCCTCTTTCTCTATATCATTTCTGTCATAGAATCTAGTGGTGTTGGTCAAGTCTACCAGCAAACCCATTTTAACCTAAAGAAACAACAAAAAAAAAACCCAAAAATAAATTTTTATATGTGGTTCAAAGAGCCGTGCATAAATACTAAATGTCTAAACCCATAATAATTAAAAGCAACCACAGGCTATATTTTTAAGTTTAAAAAGCATTAAATACTGCATTTGTTTGTAAAATCTGTATTTTACCACCATTATAGACATCTGCATTTCTTTGTGAAAGCTGGTGTCTAAATTAGCACTAGTCATCAATTCAAAAACTTCAGTTTGCTCCAACCAATGATTCTATATAAGAAAATTCTGCTAACAGCATGAAAAACTGGTAAAGAATTACTTTAACATCTAAAAAGACAAATATGATGGAATCAAGTGCTATTATGCAAAGCAAAACAATACTAAACACTGGCACAGTGAAAGTACCATAAGAAACATTAACTACTGAGACTTTCATAGAAGTATGCTCCCAGAAAAAATAACTCATTTTAATTTACCTATTAGAGTGCAAAACAATGCAAAAGAATGAACGTATTTTCAAGTTTAAAAATTAATCAAATAAATTAAATTCTTAAAACCCTCTTATTTAAAGCTAAAATGCAAAACAACTTCAGATATTCAAACATGCTGTCAGCAGCTAAGGTGGCAGTGTCAACCACTCAAATGTTCGGGTCTTCCTGAATCCAGGATGTCTTGCTCACTCTACCCTAATGTATTACCTTGCACATTAACTTATTTTTTTAGTGTTTGTTTTTACAGCTGGAAAACGGATCTTTTAAAGAGCCTTGTGGAAGTTACTACATTTTGAAGAAGGATAGAAAGCAGAAATTCCACTGGGTGGCACAAAACACACAGTGTGTCAAAGTATATTCTACTGATTCTTGTTGCAAACAAAATTTCCAACAAACCTACTAGTTTTATTGTGCAAAAACAGCCCACTAACACACCTGAGCAAAGAAAGTATTTCTGGTTTCCTGTCTTGTAAGTGCAAGCAATTGCTTTTGGACAAAAAACTCAATGTCATACTTTCAGGTAGGACCAACAGACTGGCAATCATTTAGTTGGAAGAATTACAAAGCAAAACACCATTTCCACACAATTCAGAAAAGGTAAAATCCAATTATAAGTAGAATACAGTTCAGAAACAGCTATTTCACATGAATGTGTTGTTTAGTAGACCCCTAAAGGAAAATTCCCAATTTTCTACAGATAGCTCTCCAAGATATTCAAACTTCTGATGATATACATTTGTAATACTTACATACTTTTATATTACTTTTATTTAATCAATGTTAAAGATCATCATGATGTTAAGTCAACAGCACTAAAGCTTCTAAAGTAATATCCAGATCAGTTCTGAATTTCTCATTGTCAACCTTGCATATTGTATTCAGAATACTTTATTTACTCATATTACTGTGTTTTGGAGAAATACAAACCACCTCACAAGGTCGTCCACCTGAAAACAATGTTACACCACCTGAAACTTCAAACATAAAGTGTCAATCGAGCTGCTAAGCATGGAGACTGACAGCATCCTAGACAGTGATTAAAATTCTGTAGAAATTATACACAGGCAATTAATTCAATGATTACTTTCCCCCCCTCTCCATTCCCTACAGCAATTTGCAAATGTCTCAAAGACTACTTAATTCAGGCCTGCAGGACTTCTCTCCAGCTATTCCTTTGCCATTATTACAGATGATTTCAATCATATACAAGTGAATCTCATGTGAAGTGACACTTCCTCACACACTTCATGGAGCAGTACGGCAAACAGGCATCGAGTGCAATTTATCCAAAGCTGCAAATGCATTTATGGCATACAGAGCATATAAGACCTGAAAGCAGCTTTCCTGCTTTACAGAAAGCCTAATCATTTGCATTCTCAATCCATGGGATTGACTGCACATAAGACATTACAATTTAGAGAGTGCAAAGCACAAGAAAATTATAATGAAATTTTTAAAGAACAGGGGGATTATGCAATATATCAAAGTATACAGCTATGATTTTCAAAAAATCCATGCAAAAACCCCACCAATACCACTGGAACAAAATAAAAGCCTTCCCCTCACTTCCTCACATTCCAGATATCTCCAGCTATTAATGCCTTATGCATGTGCTCTTCTGCTGCTGTGCAATAAAATGGGCTTTGCTAGTTTCCCCTGTACGACCTCAGAAATTTCTCCTTAGACACTGGAGACTGAAAACACCCTCCCCAAGGAGAGAGCATACCACAATACACTGACTTCAGTTTCAGGATTTTTTTCTTGAATTTCTTATTTGAGAAAAATAATTTAGATCAGTGATTGAATGTAGCTATGAAAACAATAATGTAGCTGAAAATTGGTAAGTAGTTTTCCTAACAGGAATTCTGTAAATTGAGCATTCTAATTACCCAAACATTCTTTTGAGTTAAATAATATCTTAGCTCTTTGCAACAGAAATAAATTTACCTATATAAAGCATAAACTGTACTAACCTACCTACTCAAGAAATTTTAAAAAATAATAATAACAATAATTCATGCTGTCACCAATTGCTCCTGCAATTCATTTCAGAGAACATTAAGATACTACGCCAATATTGGCAATCACAAGAAAAGTGGGGCTGGCATGGCTAATGAAATCAGTTTCTAACATTCACGTTTTCAACAACGAGCTCAGTGAGAAACGGAATCACACAGGAAGCTTCTCACAGATAGTTCCACCCAGACAGATGTTGCCTTAAATGCTAAACCAGTACCTTCAAAAATCTGAGGTAACATCAACATCTCTCTATTACAGAAATCCAGATGTAAAAGCTTCTGCTGAAGTCTTATTTGGGAGCTAAGTCATATGGACTCAAGTGATAACCAGTTTTCAGAAGTATTTCTGCAAAATATTAGCAGTAAAAAATACACTACAATAAAATTACAAGAACCATGCACAGTGAGCTACTTTCACCTCGGGTGGGAAAATTCACTCTTACAGGGCTCCTCAATTTCACCTTTATTTCATTGCTGGCTTGTTGGTAAATTGCTAATCTACAAATGGAGCACTCCAGTAACCACTACACACCTTGGCAAATAAAAAGGAAATATATATTATAAAACAGCAAACACTCATCAACAACGCCAGGGTCCAATACAATGTAATAGATTTTACGAGAACAGCGAGTTTGAGAGAAATTCTATGTTCTGCTTGTTAATCAAAATTACCAAAATATAAGTGGGGATCCTCATGCTACTAATTTTACTATCAAATTCTAATAATCTGATGTCACTCAAGACATGAATTTGTCGCATTACAACAGAACTGAGAGATGTGACTACTGGAGAGGCTAGAGTCTCACCATGATTATTTCTTTTTGGTGGCAAATCACTAAGGAGGTAAGCATTTAGAAATTCTGAGTAAGGCTGTGAAATTCTACAAAACTTCAAAATATACACAGAATTTTAAATTACTTTAAAACATGCATAAGATTAGTTTGGCAAAATTCCAGTTATGCCTATCAAATCCAGTCAGAGTCAAAAATAACATAATATATAAAAGAGGAACTCAAGTAGAATTTAGATGCACATGTCAGACTGAAATATTACACTTTATGGTTTAAACAACTTCAATAAGGATTTTTGTCCATTAAAACTCTATCATGAAGCTACACCAATAAAAGCTGCATCACCAAAGCCCACCCTGAATGGGCCCCCTGACTGAGGCCCTGGACTGTAAGCTGATCTGAGATAAGGTAAAAGTGACACTATTCTCAGGTCGGGGCTGGGGAGAAGAATACTTCCACAGGAGAATTAAGCAGCTTTGGGGTGGAGCCATAGCCCAGGCTTATCTGCTGCCAGGTCTGCACACTCTCCTCCAACCCGGGAGGAGGAGAGGTTTGAGTGTTTAGCCTTTGGACAGAGGTAGTGAAAGCCGTGCACAGACTAGCTCATCTGTGGGGACCCCCACCCCAGGAACACCACATCTACTGGACATTCACGTGAGGGACAGCAGAGGGGGTGCCATGGCCCATCAAAGGCCCCCTGAATGGTTCCCCAGACCCTGCACCACAGCACTGCATGTGATGCAAAATGATGCAACTGACACAAAGCCTTGCTAGGGACAGTGCCAACCTTCCCCTGCTCAGGGGAAGCACTGGGCATTCCCACCTGACCCAAACGTATATTAATCCACTGGATTCTACACTTTGTGGTGGGAGACCCTCCCCACCAAGAAGACCAGATGGAGGGGAGCAGAAAGATGTCACTGGGACACATAATGATGCAACTGACACAAAGCCTTGCTAGGGACAGTGCCAACCTTCCCCTGCTCAGGGGAAGCACTGGGCATTCCCACCTGACCCAAACGTATATTAATCCACTGGATTCTACACTTTGTGGTGGGAGACCCTCCCCACCAAGAAGACCAGAAGGAGGGGAGCAGAAAGATGTCATTGGGACACATAGTTTTTATTTAATCTGTCCCTGTCACTCTTTCTGTGCCACGCTCACCTCTTTTTTCTATTTCTTTTTCTTTGTTTCTTTTACTGTTAAATAAACTATATCCATTTTTTGTCTATTTCTTTTTCTTTGTTTCTTTTACTGTTAAATAAACTATATATCCATTTTTTGGTATCAACATCCAACCTCATTTGGTTTTAATCTTCTTTTAGGAAATATTTTGAACCTCAGGATTCTTACTGTTTTATTCACAGAGAGTTCTGTTTGATCCTCTGTGATTAGAGTAGATCATAAAAGCACAGATGCAAGAACTCTAACAAGAAAATTCCTCCCAGCTCAAGCACTGAGAACAGGCACATGTGCTTCACTGATCATACTTTCTTATGGCATTACTGCACAGGTACTCCTAGCACTGCTACACTGAGTGGTTCACTATCTACTTCATACCTATGCCTAAACAAGATTAATAAAATGAGGATTCCCATCTTTTAGTCACCTAATTCTTCTGATGTTTCAGGTCTGATACTGTTAAACAAATTCAGAATTAATTTAACCTCGATGAACAGCAAAAAATAAAGAAAAAACCCACAGAAAAAAAAATGCCATTTGCATGATTCATCTCAGAGACACAATCAAAACAAATGGCACCAAACTTCTTTATAAAGTTTAATAACCAATTCAACTAATAAGGCAGTAGACCTTTCTTTGCCTGGCAGGCTCAAAATCCCATTTCCCACATCTCCAGATACACCAGACTGGCCACAACACTACAGAAACCTACATGAAAGGCTGGAAAGGTCCTCTTCCCACCTTCAGTTATGCTACAGTGCAGAACATGCAAACTGAAGCACACAGATAGAAATGGGCAAAACAGAGGATGAAGAAGGGAGCCAGAACCACAAGTCTGTAGTGGTGGATGCCACAAGGTTTAATAAGGCAACTGCAGGGTCCTGTCACAGCAGCCCTGGGCAGTGCTACAGGCAGGGGGAGGAGTGGCTTGAGAGCTGCTGGGCAGAAAGGGCCAGGGGGTGCTGGCTGACAGCTCAGTATCAGCCTATGCTCTGCTGCCCAGGTGGACAAGAAGGCCAAGGGCACCTGGCCTGTGCCAGCAATAGTGTGGCCAGCAAGACCAGGACAGTGACCATCTCCTGCACTCAGCACTGGTGAGGCCACACCTCGAGTGCTGTGTTGAGTTCTGGGCCCCTCACTTCAGGAAGGACATTGAGGTGCTGGAAGGTGAACAGAGAAGAGCAACAAGGCTCATGAAGGAACAGCTGAGGGACCTGGGTTTGTTCAGTCTCGGGAATTCTAACCTGTAAGAAAACACTTTCAGAAATCTGTTAATTGCAGAGGAGACCTGGAAATGTAAACAAACAAAAAAAGGTTTCAGTTCAGGTGTCCCAAACAAAGCTATCAACAACCTTTTCCTTAGATCTGAAAACCAACACTTGAGTAAATATTAATAATGAGAGCAGTGTTTCAATTATTAGAAAATGTAACATTACCTTCAGACTCTTTAAGTAGTTGGATAACATACTCGGGTGAAATCTATTTTCTTCAGCAACCTGTTCATCATATCTTGGTCCTAACATTGTCTTCAAAGGTAAAAACTTCCCTATGAAAGATAACAAAATTTTGCAGTATTTTATGTATATGTACAGTTACAACTTAGTATTTTGAACCAACATACTGAGCAGTTTTAGACATTCATTTTCAATAATAAATAATTGCAGAAATAGTACTGACAACAGTAAATAGGAATATTTTTAGTTATGAGTTCTCAGAATTAATCAGTAAGTTTAAAAGTTTAAAGGAAATACAGGTCAGTTCATCTGAAACAAAGTAATTAAACATTTTTAGCTAACTTTTAGTGTGATTTAACTTGGGAGGGCTACAGCACAACAGAATACAGAAAATTTAATCTCACTACAATGGAAAACATGAAAACGGCATTTTAAGATAACAGTTTGTCATCCAATCATGTAAACATCAGTTTTGATGACGTGCAAACATAACATACAGTAAGGATCCCTGCAAAAAAAAGTTCAGCAACACTCTGTACAGTCTCAAATAAGCATCTATCTTCCATGAAACAGACATTAGAAACCACAGAAGACAGACAGATGTAGAAACTAGGAAGCTTTATGCAACTGGTTAGTTCAGGTTAGATGTTAGTGAGCAACATGAGAAACAGCCTCACTTTTCCCCTGAGACCTTTCCAAAATTTACAGCTAAAAGGAGCGTTATTCTGTCATACAATCAACAATCACAGTAAATAAATTTTACTGTAAAATAAATAGTAATAAATTATAGTCACTTCAACTTGTTTGACAGCTAGAAAAATTTCACTTTACTGCCCTTTGCCTTTTCATCCCAACTTACACACCCTCCATCCACTCTGGTAAAGGCTGTGGAGTTGGATACCTCCCCTCCATTTCCTCAGCTCTTCAATTATCTAATTTTCTTTGTTCTTTGTGTTCCTTGTCACCTTCAACACTATCATACAGCCTCTCTCTCTATTAGCCCTTCCACTTTGGCTTGCAATACTCCTCTGTACAGACTGATTACGTGAATCCTTAATTTACATGATCTAAACACAAAAATCTATCATCACCCTGATTTTTGCAAAACAACATTGTGCTTGACAGTTTTTTGACTCCCCCACTGGTCACACCCATACTAACATATCTACTCATTCATTATGGAACACGAAGAATCTAACTAAGCTTTCTTAACCATGGCACTCAAGAATAGGAGCTGCACTGACAAAAGAGTCAACGGCTACAAAAACCACCATCCTTTACAAGATGCTGGGGAAAAAAAAGTGGGAAAAGACAAAGTAGTCCAGTCAGCATCCCCTGCAGCATTTGAATACCTACAGACCCCTGTGGAAGTGGTGAACATTTCATATTTCATTTACTATGACTTTCAAAGCTGAAACACAGATGTTTAGAAGTATTTAGGTGCTCAGCTTCTATAAATTCCAGTTTCTTCTTCTCTACCTGGAAAATTTGCAATTTGGTTTTTATATAGATGCTTAAAAAAACTTCTTCCCCGTGTGCATACAAGCCTCTCATTCAGCATCATCAAGCTACCAAAAATCTAAGCTGTAATTCTATAAAGATTTCTTAACTTTTTGAGTAATATGGACAAGCATAAAGGAGGCAGTAGCTACTGTCTCTTCTACAGTTTTGTCTTACATCTTGTGCTAAAGAAGTGATGCAGTAACAGCTCATTGCAGCTCAACTTAAGCCTCCGTGCACAAGCTTTTGAAGATTAAAAAATCATTTGCTGAATCAGGCTATCCTACAGCAACAAAGTGATACTTTATATGAGCATCAAAAGCATCCCACGTCATTCAAGTACCTCAACTACATTATGACACTAATTTTAACTCCTCAATAGAATTTCCAAATTAACTTCAAAATGTTACTGGAACCCTAACAACAGATTATTACCACAGTTATGTTCAAATTTCTCAAATAATTCTGGAAAGTGGCTATTAAAAACCATTTTCCAAATTAGTTGCCTGTCTAACAGATGGTATTTCTTTAGGCTGAAAAACAGGTAAAAATTTTAAAAATAAGAGTCCAGTATATCAGAGCACAGACATAGACATCAAGCTGATAAATCTGAGGGAAATCAAAGAGAACAATGTAAGACATCACATTTTCTCCATGTGCATGCTCTAACTTTGTCACATTTTTTATCTTCTAATCTAAATTCTAGAACATACCAGCGAAAAAATACTCTTAATTTAGTGTGATTTTCTGTGACATGAAGCTATGCTCAAAACATGACATACATGATTATGTATGAGCATGGCATGTTTAGATTCAGCACTAATTAAGAAGGCTAGACTGGGTAAAGTCTGAGGTTAAGGGAATAAAATTAAACTGTAAAATCCACAAATTGGAAAAAAAAAAAAAACTCTATAAAGTAACAGTTCTCTGATTCAAGAGAACTATGCTGGATCAAAGTATCCATTTCACCTAGTATGTCATCACCAACACAGGCCAATAAAAGACAGCTAGGAAAGAGAGTAAAACAATGACAATGACAAACCATCATCCAGATTATTCTCCCCAACTACAACAAGCCATAGCTCAGAACCTTCCTGAACCAGAAGCATTACTCTTATTTAAGGTGCTTTCTCCTATGCAATATGGATGCTCTCCATAATATACCACAGTTCTGCATGCTACTTGTGTGTCCAGAACAGGATTTACTAATATGCATCAATTGAAGGAGGCTGGAAAACACTGCTGAGACACTTCTCATGCCTTCTCTTCCATATCTTCCTAGCACTTTACACAGCAAAATTGCCAAGAGAATGGGTTTTCAGTGGTCACGAAAAGCAGATACCTGCTGAGATGGTGCTGCCAAGGCAGCAAGGCTGAAGCAACCTGATCACTTGAGATCTAAGCATTCACAGAAAGCTCTTTTCATCAAAATGCTTGAAGTTCTACTGTGAAAATGTGCGATTCTGAGGACAAAATCAGAAAGTGGCACAAAACTACCAATATTTAAAGAAGTGAACAGGAAAATAATGGGAGACATAGATGAATTCACATTGTCCAGGATAAAGAGTCCTGTTAACCTGAATGAACCCAATCTCACCAACAGCAGAGTTTCAGGCCTCATTAGTACTTGTCTTGAGGTCATCCAGAAATTCTAGATGCCACAATCATTGGATAGGAGCATCACAATCAAACACTCAGTGAATATGAGTCCACAGAAGGCATACAAAAAAGACAGGAGCATCACAAAGAAACACTCAGTGAATATGAGTCCACAGAAGGCATACAAAACTTGCTTAGCAACACTATTACTAATACACTATCAGATGGAAATAAAGGCGCATACAGGTGCTTAGAAATCTGATTTAAACACTAATTAAAACTGGACTGTAACATATCTGGGAGACAATACGAACATCAATTAAACCCTAAAAATCATCTCCCATAAAACTTTATGTCTTTGAACGTAGAACAGCAAAAAAGCAAAGAAGACCGATGGCTTACCATTACTTTTGGTAATTTGTTCACACTAAAAAACTAAAAATCAGGTGAACAAGAACACATCCTGATAAAGCACACAAAGAAATGAGTCAAGCACTTTCAGTTTTTTTACTGTGCGTTAACTTCCTGTGCATGATCGCATGGAATGGAAAAGAATTACCTTGCAGTTCCTGAATAAACAAACACACAAGCAGTGATGGCACAGCAGATGACACACTGATGACCCTCATTCGTGCTAACTCTAGGTTGCTGTTTCTGAGAAACCATGGCTCAAAAGACAGACAAACAAAAGCCACAACTAACAGAGATCAAGAACCTGCTGAGAAGAAAAACGCAGAATAAAGAATCATTAGTCTGTTTTTGTCATGGTCAAAGGCTTAGGCTATCAAATCTCTATGATTAGATACAAAGTAATGTGTGTGGCCATGATCAGGAGAAAGAGATAATGGACATGAGCAATCCAACAACACTGTCATTTAAGTGGGAAGTCCAGAGAAGTACAAGGAACTTGACGGAAACCAGTAACCCACAAAATTAACAACTGATGTTAAATACTGATAAATGCCAAATAATGCATACTGATGATTACTCAGGATTAAACCAACTGAGATGTCTCACCAGGTTCTAAATATAGTCATCAGTGTCTTCCATTCCATAACTAGCTGCCATCAAAAAATGTAAAATGACACGAAAATGTGGGATAGAAAACACAGGAGTCGTAACTATTAAGCAAATTATGGCACAGTGCCAGTTTAAATAACACACTGAGTAGCACATGTTGTGTTTTGAAAACATACCTTTACATCATCACAGAGAGGGATATGAAAGGAGTGAAAACTAGAAGATATTGGAGGAAAAAAAACCTGGAGGCTGGAACTGCTTGCATTATAAAGAAAAGAAGAACTTCAGAAAACTGAAAAGACAGATGTTTGTTTACTTTATCTCATACCACGCAGCAGAGGAAACATTCACCTGAAGTCAGTATGATAGCTAACACACAATCAAAAATGTGTGTCTAGACGGTACTGAACTCACTGGCACTACATGCCACGAGACTAGATACTGAGTAACACCCAGGACAGTGAGTTACGGGCAAGAATATCCAAGCAGACAGCAACCACTGACAAACCCTGAAACACACGTGCAACACTGGAGTATTACACTTTAACTCATTTTCCAGCTAAAGAACTCAGGAGCACTTTGGTGACTGGAAGGGCACTGTCAGTCAGCAGGGTAACAAATTGACACAGATAAGACTTCAGAGCATTCAGGAAAAAGAGAATCAGACATGGAAGAGGCTGCACAGAGGACTGATATCACAAAATTGGTCAGGGTGGAGGGGACTACAGAGGGTCATCTGGTCTAACCTCCCTGGTCAAGAAGAGTCATCCTACAGCACATTGCACAGGACTGCATCCAGATGGCTCTTGAATATCTCCAGTAAGGGAGACTCAACAACCTCTCAGGGCAATCTTGTTCAGCCACAGTAAAGAAGCTCTTCCTCATGTTCAGGTAGAACTTCCTGCGCATCAGTTTCTGCCCATTGCCTCTTGTCCTACTGCTCGGCACCACTGAGAAGACCCTGGTTCCATCTTCCTGACACCCCCCTTTAGATATGTATACACATTAATGAAATCCCCTCTCCATCACCTCTTCTCGAAGCTGAACAAGCTCAGTTCTCTCAGTTTTTCCTCCTAAGAAAAATGCTCCAAGCCTCTCATCGACTTAGTAGCTCCACTACGGCACCTCCTGCATGCCTGGCTGTCACATCTCTCACCAGATGTGACAAACAGGAAAAGTTTCATCCCGAAACTGAACCAATGCGAAGCGAGAGCCCAGCACTAAGGCTCCGGGGGACAGGAGAGGGCCCGTACCCCGCACCTCTGGGTGAGCCCGGGCCGAGTTCGTGTCACAGAGGGGCACAGGCTAAAGGCAGGGCGAGCCCGGCGCTGAAGGCAAAGCGCTGCTGCGGGCCGGGCTTTAAGGAGAACAGCCGCCCAGCGGGAGTCAGGTCCGGGACTAACACCGGCCTGGAGCTCCGGGTGGAACACTGCACAGCCGTAGCCACGGGACAAAGAGCTCGGCCGGGACAGAGGGACAGAGTGCCAGAGGCCGCGGCGGCCCCCGGCGATGAGGAGGAGCGGGACGGGCGGGCAGCGAGCGCCGCAGGGGAAGGGGCCGCGCCCGCTGCCGCCCCACGGCCGGGCAGGGCCGGACTGGGCCGGGCGCTCACCTGCCACGGGCTGTCCCCTCCTGGGGCAGTGGAGCCAGCGCGGCGGGATCTTGTTGTAGG